AAACCTTTTTATTTTGTGTCTGTCACACAACACAACAATTATAAATGAAATGGAGGTGACAAAAATGAAAAGCCAGCTTGCTGATTTTTATGAAGTATTTGTATTTCCAGAAAGGCAGTCATTGCTCAGTTATTTGATTTGAAAAATTAATCCTGATAATGCCTTTTGAGTTCCTTAAGTACTGTTCACTCTTTTCTAGGATGAGTTTTATAGAACAAAGCCTAACAGATTTCTACAGCAGATTAGTTTACAGATGAAGCTCAATTCCACTGAGAATGATTCTCTAATGACCCCTTTATACTTCCATTGGGCTGTGCGAGTGCTTTAATACACAGAGAACAGAGTTAAATAAATCTATTGTCTCAACTAACAGGTTTACGCAATCCTTCTGAAATATTTTAATTATAGGTTCTTCTTTTTCTCCATAATTAAGAAACCAGATGTCAAATAAACCCGTCACGTGTTCATCATAGCCTATCCATTAGTTTAAAGAAATCCACTTATAATTAGAGTTTTTTCTCTTTCTCTTTTGTTTTACAGAGCAAGAAGAATGTGTTAACTGCACAGATGAATGCAGAGTGCTTGGTCATTCTGACAGGTGTTGGATGCCACAGTTCCCTGCAGCCAGTCAGGCTGAGAATGCAGATTATCGCACAAATCTCTTTGTACCCACAGTTGAAGCTAATGTTGAGACTGAGACATACGAAACTGTGAATCCCACTGGGAAAAAGACTTTTTGTACATTTGGGAAAGACAAGAGAGAGCACACTATTCTCATTGCCAATGTTAAACCTTACTTAAAAGCCAAACGTGCCCTGAGTCCTCTGCTTCAGGAGGTTCCCTCAGCATCGAGCAGCCCAACCAAGACATGCATTGAGCCTTGCACCTCAACAAAAGGACCACTGGATGGTTGTGAAGTGAAATCAGGAGCCTTGGCTGAACCAAGCAGCCAGTACTTGTCAACTGACAGTCAGTATCTATCGCCCAGTAAACAGTCAAAAGACACTCCCTTCATTGCATCAGATCAGATGGCTAGGGCCTTTGCAGATGTGCACTCCCGAGTGAGCCGAGACTCGAGTGAGATGGACTCTGTTCTGGAGCAGTTAGACCGTTCAGCCCGGGATCTAGGCAGGGAGTCGGTGGATGCCGAGGAAGTTGTGAGAGAAATAGACAAGCTCTTACAGGACTGTCGGGGAAGCGACCCTGTGGCCATCAGAAAGTGAGGGGGAAAATAAGGACAGGCTGGCAGTTATGTTCCTCTTCTGCTGATTAAGAGTAAAAAAAAATAAATCCCCTGGTTGTAACAGATTTACGGGAATGAAGGAAGACCAATGCTGCTTTAAGGCTTTTAGTGAACATCTGAAGTGCCCACAAGTATGTTCTTTTCACTGCTCTTTCTTTTTGACAGATAACACTGGTTTCATTTTGACCAAACTTTCATTAGGACAGAGTCAAGTACACTAAGAACAAAATGAAAGAAGGAAAGACGGTGCCATTTTGACAATCTGATAGGAAGGTGTGAGAAAGATGGAATGGAAATACGTCTGGTACTTTAAGACTGTCCTCAAAAGCTGATGCTAACTTTACTGTTTACGTATAAACCCCAAGAAAAACAGGGTTGAATAATTCTGGTCTGTGGTGGATTATCAGCAGTCACCACAGGCTTCTACTGAAAGTCCTAAAAAGAGTTCTTGTAGTAGTCCAAGCGACACCAAACATTAACATTCATTTGTGGTAAACATTTATGTACAAAGTTACCTGCCACAAATATGAAAAAAAAAGAGAAACAAGAAAACAAAAAAAAACCATTCCAGACCATTATTCAACAAAACATATCCTGATCATTAGTAAAACACTTCATATCATATTAAGGTTAAATGTAAAATGATATAGTCCATCTTGTCCTGCACATACATAAGCTAATTCACTTGATAAAAAAGAAAAAAAAAAAGATTTTAATATCTATTTAGCGTTTTAGTGTCCAACAAAACTATAAATAGGTAGCAGTAAGTTTTAAAAACACTGAAGTAAAATAAAGTTTGAAAAAAAATAGTTACCTTTAAGGGTAATACACAAAGGAAATTAACATTATTAACACTTTTTTATTCATTTGTGGACACTAAAATAGCTCAGGAAAGTGAAAATATCTTAGACATCCACAGAAATCACGTGATCATTTAAATGTGCAAATGTAAGAAGATTCAGTGTGTTTACATCAAATGACATATTTTTATTGATTTATTGCAGATTCAGTGCATATGAGCCAAATTGTTGAGTGTATAAGAGCTATATTGTGTATTTTATTAAATTAATATATAGTTGTGTTGCAAAAATATTTGGGCTTATATTGTAAATGGCAAGTGTTGCCTCGGTAGCTGTCGAACTCTATGAGTTTTGTTTTTTCCTGCTTCCTTTTCCCCATGGATTGTGGGAAGCAGCGCCTCAGAGCAAAGTCTCTTGTTTAATGTATGGTCTACGAAGTACTGCAGTACATAATCTGTTCAAAATGTGTTTGAGTGAGCTGATGGAGCTAGCTGAACAGCCTACAAATACATCCATCAGTCATGGTTATGTGCAAGTCCTTGTAGAAGCTTCTGTTGCAAACCCATGTTTAATAACAAAAATTACACTTGAACCAACATCTGGAACCTCCTTGGTTTTTTGGTTTGTTTGGTTTTTTTTTTTCCCAAACACATGCAGGCAGCCTGTTTAATGTAGGATACTTGACTGACTTCTTAAGAGATGCCACCATTTTCAAAGTTTTGCTATTAAGTTCATAGAGCTGAAAAACATGTCAGTGCCAATGTGGCATGGGCAGTACTTTATCTGATTCTTTAGAATTTGCAATTGCTTACTGCAGTTCTAGATATACACTGCTAGTTTTTGGGGGTGTTTTTAATCTGGTTTTCTTTTGTTCTGAAAAGTAATTGCGGAATAACTTGGGATGTAGTTTCTACTTTTTATTATTTTTTCTAAGGGTGCTTCTATTGCATTTGAAAAATTCAAAATTGCCTTCAGATGAAAGTTAAAAAACAACCCGCATTCAAAATGAGCTTGCACAGAACAAGAGGATGCAGAAGAATAAAATGTTTAGCTCAGGATTTGTCTCATATACTTCAGATACTGTTGGAAATACTACTGTGGCGCATTGTTTAAAAATGGTATATTAGGTTTACTAAATTTAATCTGTACGGTACAAACATACATAAAAGAGGTTGGCAATCTCAAATCCCACAAAGCCATAGTTTTTATCAGTTCAAGAAAGAAACTTGACCCAACAGCATGTTTTGCTGTTGAGATTGCTGTTAAAGGGTGATTTTAGCTAGTCAGTCCTACAATTAATTGTCTTTGGGAGACAACCATTCTGACAGTTTGCTTTTAGCTCCTCCTGTTACAAAAGTCCACAATTACATGTGAAAAAAGGATCTTGTACATGTTTTATCAAGCTACTCTCCATGTTTTGGACAATTTATGTATCTAAAATGTGGTGTTGTCTGTGTTATATAATTTTTTTCTTTTTTTTTTGGCCAGGAGACCCGAGATTGGTTTTGCTTGATAGCTTGATAGCTTGAAATTCCATAGTGGAGAGGATTTCTTATTGTTTGATCAGTCTCTTATACGTATTTCCGTGGTGCCCATCACTTCAGTGTCTGTGCACCAAGTCTTTAGCTCTGCCAGTGAGATCCATTATTCAGCAAAATCTAAGCCAGTATGTAAATGCAGTCAAGTGATGGAGATTTGTGTATTTTATAAATGATTTTAACACTGAGTAAACAATTGTACAATTCATTGTATGTTTCTGAAGACATAAAACCACAACATTCTGAGAAAGGGCTGTGCCAATGTAAGAGGAATTTACCTTAAGGCTCTCTGTCACTAGTGATTTACTAGCTTTAGCTGTTTAACACATTATCTGTATTTAGTAGTGATTATTTATTTACCACTCTGAGGTAATTCAGAATTCATGACTCACAGCTTTATAGAAGAGTTTAGGAAATCTTGCTTTTATTTAATTTGGCTGACAACTACCTTGTGTTGTAGATCTCTGGCATACTGCTTCCAATAAGGATATCCCAGGTTAAAAAAAATCTGTTTCACAATTTAGAATGGATAAATAATGAACCAATAAACCAGCAGAGCTTGTACAATGTGAGTTTTGCTGCTTCAGTCAAAATTAGCGTGATTGTGTGAAGGAAGTACTACACACAAAAGAATTAAAAAAGTATTTTTTCTCCACGGTATCTCTACTATCACCACTGGAGAAAGAGGCAGCAATGAAAGATAAAGTTTCTGAGTTATTTCTCTCATTCCTTACATACACGTTTTATAAGACGGAAAGAAAATATCTGCCACTTGATTATAAAGAGAATGGCAGTTAGGGGAGGCAAGTTAAGTAACTAATAAAATTGTACTGTACACTGTGAATAGCAAATAAAGCATTCTATATCTTTTTTTTACTAATGAAAGCCAGCAACTGGGAGTTCCTTAAACAATTGGCCAATCAAATCAGGACTCAAAATCAGACCTTTTTTTTCTGTTTTTTTCTTGTCATATTTATCAGGAAAGAGATTCTCCTGAACTGTGGTATGTCACTTGAGAATATAGGTTTCCCAGTCCAAGTTACCCCTAGAAGTGAAACATTGCTCATAGTGGAGCAAGATGCAGCGTTCAAACAAACTTTCAAGGTGCTTGCTGTCCAATGGAAGGGAAATTGCTGAGGTCAAGGAGGAGTCTGAAGCCTAGCATAATATACGCCTACTCATTATTGTTTAATTGCTTTCTTTTCACATCAGGCAGTGATTATTATTGCATTAATTCAAATGGGAGTTTTGGCTATCAAGATTTGTTGATTTGAAGTGTAGTTGAAAGAAACCTGATTGAGGTTTTGACTTCTCTGGCCCAGTTGTGATACAGGTTGGCATTCACATTTATCAGCCCCTGTCTCCCCATATGGCTCAAAGTTGCACCAATGACTGGTGAATGACACAAAAACCAAACAAAAGCAGCATACATTGTATGGATTATCTCAACCGCTATTGTTTAATGGCTGTGTTTAATGTGACCTATCTGGAAAATGAGGACTACGAATAAAAAGCAATTACTAATAGTGGTGTTGCCTGCTTTTGCATTCATTAACACAGAAGAAATGTGTTAAACACTGCATACCACAGGGAGCCTGATGGTAATTACTTTGGAAAAGCAACTTGTGGCAATGCGGCTGTTACAGCTAGTTATCAGTTTGCCAAAAAAAATGACAGTTCCTGCTTCATTTATTAGAAATGTGTAACCGTTTTCTCTCAACAGGAAGGTGGTGAAGAGTTTTCATCAAGCTGGGTAGGTTTATCTTTTAAGCAGCTGATGTGCTGAATCCCTACAGGCTGTTATTTGCTCATAGAAACATGGAGCTGAATAAAGGATAGTTTGGTTTAGTACACTCATGTGAGTTCACCAAAAGCATAATAAATGAGGGTATAAGTTCTCAAAGACTGTCAGCCCAACATGAAAGATCAGAACACTGCTTGAGTATACAAGTGGAGAAAAAAATCTAAAGAATGTAAAGGGTTGGGGTTTTTGTTTTGTTCTAAACTTCTCTTTTTTAAGAGCCTGAGTAATACAGATAAATAATCTTATTCGTGTTGCTGTAAACAACGTGACAAAATGCTTGGAAAAATATGACTAAGTTCTATGTCTGGTTGTTTGAGTTAGTAGTTATAATTTAACACTTTCACTAACCTTTTTTTGTTTGTTTTTTGTTCTGTTTGAGCATCAATCCCTCAGAGTATGTGGCCCTTTCTGTCTGCTCCTTTGTGATGGTAGCAATGACACACCAAATAGTGTAAAACCTCCACGCTGGATTTTTTTGGTTTTTTGGGGGGTTTGGTTTGGGGTTTTTTTGTCTGTTTGTTTGGGGTTTTTTATGAGTATTTAAATAAATAGGCATTGCTTTTGGCAGCTAAATAGAATATTAGTTTGCTCAGAATACTACAGGTATTATGAAGATATGTGCTAGTCCTGCAGGCAGAATTACCTTTCACCCATTGCATGTTTTCTGCAAGTCTCTTTGCCAGAAACAAACCCAGCCTGCATCTAATTATCTGGCTATCCCAGACACAGAAAACCCTCACTGTTTTCTTCCCTTTTTCCTGCTACATATATTTGTCTTTCTACAGGCTGAATTCCAAAATCTAGCAAGCCTCTGTTTGTGCAGGGTCCTGCCAGAATGTACCTTATGCTGCTGAAGGTCTCAATGGACATGGGATGTTGCTGTCTTGCTGTCTTCAACTGTGTGTAATTCAGAGCTTGGCTGGCCCCACAGTATATGTAGAACAAGTCATAAACCATCCTGGCTTTTCTTTACCCAGAATAAAGAGTCATTGATTTCTCATTTAGAAAGTGGCCAGTCTGTCACACAGAGATTCTTAGATCTCCTTTAAGCCAACCACATATAACTGCTTCAGGGTGTTCACTCATGGGATAAATACTCTATCCTTATCCTTTATTGAGTCTAAGACATGAAAGCAGCTGAAAGCTTATTTCTTCAGTTAGTAATGTTTCCCTAAAAATGAAATTTCTCCAGTAGAAAGAAGGGACAGCTCTCTGCTGTATGTATAGCTGGATTTGTGAAAGGTCTCCTTAGTATCAGTAGTGCATGCAGAAATGGAACAGGGAATTAATGAGCCATCTAAGAATTTTCTGAGATGTATATTTCATAATGCATATGTTATGATTCAGGGAAGAGAGCACAGTATCTTGGTTTATTTATTGCTGATGGTTCCTGATAATGCCTAGCTCACATTTAGTTCAAGTTTTGGAGAAACATTTTTCTCTGATCAGAGACCAATTCCTTTTTAATTTTTTTTATTTTTTTATTTTTATTTTTTTCTGAAATATATGTTGGTCAAATTGTAGGCCCTTTGTTAGTTTTAAAAATGGAAATAGTGTTCTGACATGGTTCCCTCCTTTAGGTTCTTTGGGCTAGAGATAATACT